GACTAATAATCAGATCTCCTATAATGTTAGCAAGAACGGCCCAAATCACAATTTTCTTGATCGTGTTTTCTTCATCTCATGTATGATACTTCTTACAGAGTGAGCCAATAAAAATTGGAACATTTTTCTATTTACTCAATTTTCTTTATTATTGCAGTTTAATCCACAAAAATTCAAAAAATGGTAAAATGATTATTTGTGAAAATGTCAAAGATAAAAATATGTATGTATAATTATTTTTGGCTTGTCATGGTCATGATCTGTAAACTGCGCATGTCATGAAAAAATTCAAAATTGTCTCTTCTTGAGACATCACTGCTAAAAATAGAGTATCTTTCACTCAGTATGTGCCCTTTAATGTTCTCAACACAATTTCCATCGATTAAAACATATGTATTTATCGCTAGGAGAAGCTAGACATGTCTTCCTTGGAATATATAATTTAGGATAACTGACCTCAGCTTTTTCAAAACTGGCAAAATATGTCTAGTCTCTAAACATATCATTTAAGCCATGTTTGACTGTCAAATACAGCTGAGACTAGTTGTTCAGGTGGGTGGAGGACATGAAACCCTTATTGCATTGAGTAATTGAATATTGAGCTTGTGTATTCATATTTACACAAACTGTTGACAATGAATTGTTCTTCAATTTCCTTAAGTATTAAATGTTATATTTTACATGACTAAAAAAGAAGTTAAAATGAATCGGAAAATGTTCCATTTTTAGCCTACCCTGCTGCAAGTCCCGTAACCATCATGGTTGCCAACATACTAAGTCTCGTTTTATTCCATTTCTTATTATGGTTCACTGAACACCAGCTGTACCCCCATGTGTCTTTCCAATGCAACAGACTGTCAATCTGGTAGTATAATTAGTGCAAAGACGGATATATAGGAAAATTGTCAGTCACTATTTTCGTGTTAATATCATGTCTTTATGTACATAGGGGTAGTGAGGTGTATAAGACGGGAATGTTTGATGAGATATCCAGTAGGTTTAAAGCCATACAAGCAGGTAAGATTGACTTTTAATCATGACCCAGTAGACCTTTTACGTTAGTATGTTTAGTATGGGTCTAATGTCAAGGATCGACATACTGTTTAGGAACGTGTGTATTGGATATTTTCAAGAATGATGGAAATTGTAGTATTTTTAACGTTTTAATGAAATATTTAGTGTGTCCTGAATTGTAATCTGCTGGATGCATTAAGCCGTACAAGCTATTTCAATATATGCTTTCCAGGGTCTATATGGATCATTTTTCAGTTTTAATGGTTTTATAGATGCTAAACTTTTTTTTATTAAGTTATTCATTTGTACAAAGAATACAATACAGTAATACATGCTTAAGTGGCTGTGCTTTTAGCATTATTAGACACGTTCTACAATTACAAAAATATACAGGGTGTCAAAAAACAACGACACCCCCCCTCTACAGCAAAAAGTCCTTAATGTTACATATCGTGTCATATTCATACCTCATTTGAAAGACAATTTAATTCTGGAGTTACTCATCAAATTTCATTTAATAAAACTTTATATTAAAAAAGCTACATTGTTTCAAAGTTTGCTACTTCGGGTACTTTGTTTGCTGCTCTGTTACTTGTTAAAGGTCAAATCTTAAGTAAGTGGATCATGAAAGAATTAGCCCAGATTTCAACTACACTGAATATATGGGCACAGTTCTGAAAAACAGAGTATAGGAATTGATGGAAAAAGAGCCTCTTGAAAAAATATACATTAAGGATGTAATTCTGAAGAATTTGAGGAAAGTGCTAAGAGGGTTATCCAAAGCTACATCTTTATCTGAATTTTTATTGAAATCATATCCATCCAGATAAGCTGCTGTTTGAGCAGCAACTGGTTGTCATACCAACTACTAAGAATCAGCTGTAAATCTGTAAAATTATATGATATAAAGCTGATATTTCTCAAGTAACTCCAGAATTAAATTGTCTTTAAAATGAGATATGACACACCATGTAACATTAAGTACCTTTTGATGTAGAGGGGGGTGCCGTTGTTTTTTGACATCCTGTACAATGTATTCAATCAATAATTAATATTGATTAAAATAAATGAGATACAAGAAGATAAAAGTTGTTTTATGGAGTATTGCTAAACTAAAATGAAATTATATATATTTGATCCGTCGAAATGTGATATTACATAATACCTTACATATTTCCTATTTTTTCTAGTAATTCCAGGTCGAATGGTTGAAATCATGGAAATTTTGATTTTCCCCCAATTTTAGTCTTATTTAGACAGTGTTTTGGCTTTCGCCACATAATCTTGTTTTCATTTAGCAATAGGTGTAACTATTTAAGCTTCTAATTTAGATTATACGAATCAACCTACATTCTTCATTGTACACAATTGTGTATGGCTTTACATGTTGTTTCACATATTTTGTTCAAATGTTCAAAGGATACTCAGAGGTGCGACCATGCACCGTGCAGAACCCGTTTACATTACTACCAAACAAAACTGTCAGTATCAGCAATTTTGTCGAACTAGAGAAACACGAGGTCGCAACATTCATTGGACTCACACTGGAGGTTTGTAAATACCTGTGTGTGAAAGATACGAAGTTGAAATGCAAGTCAATTTTCTACAGCAAAGCCCAGGCGAGTTGCTCAATCACAAGTATTGAAACGGATGATTTTGAATTGGCTGAAAGCTCCACAGAAGACATATTCTTTCGATGTAGAGGTAAGTGTTATATCTTTATAACATGGGTTGTGTTAGGCATCGGAGAGGTCAAGCTACCAAATTGAGAGTCCATCAAATTGAGAGCCCATTATGTTACAATTTCGCGTACATGTATTTCATTTTCTTTGAAATGACATATAGTTTAACCTCCTCCTTACCTTTCACCAACAATGATAATTAGCATTTCGTTTGACAATTTTTTTCCATTTCAGTTTAAACGCATTAAGATGTCAATACAAAAATAACAAGATTGTTGAACATCTTCAATGTTGCGATACTACAAGTTATTGAATGATTTGAAGTGCAATACAGGATATATTCTGCGCGAGAAATTTTGTATTGGAACGAGACGAAGTCGAGTGCCAATACAGAATATCGAGACAGAATATATCCTATATTGCACTTCAAGTCATTCAATAACGTTTTTATCACGTGATCCTCTGTATTGCTACTGAGATTGTCCCCTCCGTACCAATATTTTCTGTATTGCGACGGAGATGATCAACGGGGACAATCTCAGTAGCAATACAGAATGGTACAGCACAAGAACTGACCGATCATACGATAATTTACGTTATAAGCCAAGGGAACTGTACAAAATATGTATATTTATGTAATCTGAAAGATGCAGTTTTATTTTCTTTACTTTATTACTATTTTTACTGTAATGGTAATATTTCATTGTTAGATGTACGTTACGTTTGGCCTCAATAGGGCATCAGTACAAATGAATCCTATATATTTGATAAATAATTGATTGTATAGTTTGTTCTGTAAAATTCTTTGGAGTGTATGATAAGAGTCTCGTTTTGAATAATTTCTACACAAAAAGTAGATCAGTCCATACTGTTTCTTTATTTGTTTAGTTTGCGGAAAAGACGAATTTGAATGCGACAATGGCGACTGTATTCCCGAGTCTTTGGTTTGTAATGGAATGTCTAATTGTGACGACGGAAGTGATGAAATCAACCAATGCTGTATGTATAGCAAAACAAGTCCCTATTTTCTCATCTTCCTTAGGTGGGGTACCAGACATCATCCGCTCTACTGCCTTTTCTCATCTTGATATACCAATGTATGAAGTCTGGAACCCTGCGGTTGATAGGGTGAAGAAGGAAGGAACGGAATGATATGTCTCGAGCACCCACTCGAGCCCTTAGTTCTAAAGAATCAATCTTCTATTCCGAGTCTCTTAATTAATTATTTTAATTGGTTATCTCTTGAAATAAACGAGTTTTGCTTCTTTGGCTTCATTAAAGGGTCCCATGTAAGTTGATATCATTTAAAGTCCCCATATAAGTTTTAAACCACTTTGGCTTATATTGTAGTGTTACCCAATGTAATCAAAGTGTGATATGTGAAACGTTTTGTTTAGATTTCAAAAAGTGGTTTTTGATAGACTTTTTGTTCCAAAATTTGTGAATTTATTTAAAATTTACTTTTAGAGGTACCTTTACCTTTTACCAAATACCTTTTAATTAGCCACAATCCATACCAATGCATAGCATTCATCCTCTATGTTTTTTTGCCGAAAAATTAAGAAAATCGGTTCATAAATAAGCGAGAAATGAACTCATCAGTGCATGAAAATGGTTCCGAGAAAAATGCATTTCAAAATTTTAGTTTTCATAGAAACCAATGGTACAATGATACCTAAAACATAATATATTCTTCTTCCTTTTAACCGTAGACAATCAACATTGGTTTATTATTGAAGTCTAGCATATTTAGAAAAGATTGACATCGAAAAAAAAAATTCAATCTTTTTCAAAAAGTTTTTGCCGCCTTAGTGACATCACTAATGTTGCAAAATATTTTTGATATGCTAAAACTTGAAGTGGCCCATTAAATATGGCATTATATTATTGAAATAGTGTGTGTGTTCAATCTTTGTATTGGTGTTAAAAAGATAGTCTTTTTTGAAATGCATTAAGAAATATTTGGTGATTAAAAAATTTCAACTTTTTGAAAAATTGCTGGAAATTTGAATATTTGAGAAATGAGATGCTCAAAAATCTCTAAAATAACTTTTAAAGTCATGACAAACAGTAAATGAATGATAAAAAAATAGTTTCAAACTTCAGACGGGGACTTTAAGCAATTTCAATTTCATAAAATATTTATTCATACCTATCAACTTCAGTAAGTTGCAAGAAGAAAACCAAGTTGTCAATAATGGTATATCTTAAAAATCATACCTGTTTTGATTGAATTAACGACTCTATGTTTCATTTTATCAAGTTTTTTTCAAACAATGTCTTTTAATGTTTGTATGTTTGCTTGTTTTGTTTGAGATTGGAAATGTTCTTGCAGGGGAAGATTGTGAATTCAATTATGATAATCTGTGTGGATTTTCCATAGAACCAAAACAGTCAGGTATGTGTTATTTTAGACAACGTACACCGTCATTCGTAACGTGGAATTTTTATGTGGGTACTGGGTTAGTAAGTTATGAGCGCTGAGGTAAGCCAAAAGTAGACACAGAGTAGACAAAGCTATCTTTTAAGGGGGGAGGGGTTGTAAATTTTATGCTTATGGTCCGACCTCAAAATGCAAAATGTATTCCATATTTATGAGCTACGGTGTACAATAAAATTATATTGATAATATTAACTCAGTATTTATATTAAATAACTAAAGTTAGTAATGGTTCTGAGGTCAATGAACTTTAGTTATTTAATATAATACCAGAGTCTTGAATCTACACAGAAGTATTAATATTATATAAGGTGTCCAGTGTAAATACTATGTACAGTATATTGATTTATTGTTATTTGAAGGCAATGATAAAAATACATTCAAGGATTTAGGCACCGAACTTAGTAAGTTATGACTTAGCGATCCGCGAGTTAATTATTGCTTTCAAAGATTCTTTAAATCTAATTCTTGGTTTCATGTGCCCATATATTTCATAAATGAACTCATAAAATAATGATCCTCATTTTTATTAGAAAATTACAAATTATGTATATAAATATATGTAATAAATGGCCATACAAGTATACATTTGAATGACTTTGATCGAAGCTGGGAAATAGGGATATATAAGGATAATAAATAAGGATCAAACTTACCATTTATTTACTGTAAAACAAAGAATAACACAATAATAAATGATATCATGCTTATCTGTGAATATACTATTTATAATGGTTTCAGAACTATATACTTGGATGCTTATGGACGAAGATAAAGAAAATGGTATGTGCTTTTTCTGGTTTTGTGTACCCTGCTACATATTTCTCTTCTGGACAGTCAGTATTGTCCCAATATATTTACTCATAAAACATCATATATACTTTAGATATATTTTGAGACCAAAGCATAAGCACAGTATCACCGATGTATCGAGGAAATCAAAAGCACAACCATCAGAACAACCAACAGAACAACCAAATATGTCAAATATGAACGCAATATGTCTAGAACAATACACAATGTTTTGGGGAGATTTATCATTATTTTAATCTAAGTCAAAACAATCTGTTGAAACTGAAGAAAAAAGCCAATCACTGACTAAAAGAGCATGCTTTTTAAATTGTATTGCGAATTTCTCCTGATGAAAGTGGAAAGTCATGGCTAGGAAAATACCATCAAATTGATACTGTAAACGAATAAATTCAAGCCCCAGCATTGGGAACTTGATAAATTAACTTGCTTGTACTTAACCTAATTAACCTTAAACTTATGTATGGCGTTTGTATACATATACATAGCGTTTATACATAAATGTTTTTATATGTCTCTGGTTTATATTACATTGCTCTTTTCGTTTTCCACACTATCTCTACCTTTCAGAAATATTCAAAGATGACATAATGTGTAATGTCATCGGTAGTGAATCCAATAAGTATGGTTTAGAATGTGTGTCGTATGATTACGATGATTCGTCATATTACTCGTCGCCTTACGCTTCAACAACGTCACCTTATGGAGCTAGTGGAGAATCGTATGGGGAGTGTTGCAGCTCATATCCTACGGATCCAAGTTATGAAAATGCAGGTTCCTCCGGCGGTTATCCACCTCCTGAAGATCAAACTAGTTATTCCGTGATTGTAGACGTTTTCTTTACACCCCCTTTCCCAGAAACAACTAATACTGGCGCCACTGGATCAACGATAACGGATCCCATGGCAACATCTATACAAGCAACAGCCAATACTGGCGCCACTGGATCAACGATAACGGATCCCATGGCAACATCTACACAAGCAACAACCAATACTGGCGCCACTGGATCAACGATAACGGATCCCATGGCAACATCTACACAAGCAACAACCAATACTGGCGCCACTGGATCAACGATAACGGATCCCGTGGCAACATCTACACTAGCAACAACCGATACTGGCGCCACTGGATCAACGATAACGGATCCCATGGCAACATCTACACAAGCTACAACCAATACTGGCGCCACTGGATCAACGATAACGGATCCCATGGCAACATCTACACAAGCTACAACCAATACTGGCGCCACTGGATCAACGATAACGGATCCCATGGCAACATCTACACAAGCAACAACCAATACTGGCGCCACTGGATCAACGATAACGGATCCCATGGCAACATCTACACAAGCTACAACCAATACTGGCGCCACTGGATCAACGATTACGGATCCCATGGCAACATCTACACTAGCAACAACCAATAATATTGCCACTGGATCAACAATGATTACAACTCCACCGGAAGAGATTCTTACTATAAGTAACATCACGGCTGTCGGGGCAAAAGGTAAACTTGTACCTACATTTTTATATAATTTTGCAATTTATTTGTATCTATTGCAATATATTTCACCATAAGAGGCCATCTTAGGTCAGATACATTTATTGAAAATAATAAGTATCAGAGTTAACTATGCATTACTTTACAACTCTACCTTGAAAAATATAATTCTATCACATCAGTGTTAACTATTAACAGTAGTAGTAAGATGGATAACTTAAAAAAATGTTCATACTTTAGGTCAATTCATGGGAGTCACATCTGCATCAGATAAAATGATAAAGACATATGGCGTAATAAGAAGTTATCTAATATCACCTGGAGTTAGCAAACGTGTGTATGCAAGACAGAATTGCCTTCATCTGGATTACAAAACATATTTTCTCAGGGAAACTGGTGGATGTGACAAACGAGTAGTCCTCCTCAAATTTTACATTCGATTTTCCTCGTCGGGGTATATGATACAGCTAGCTCATTTGCTGGGAAACCGATGTGAAAATCACGAGTGGAAACGTTTTCAGTTTCAACTTCCATCCAACGAAGCTTCGTACAATTTAATGATCGAGAGGAGGAATATATTCGAAATAGATGTCGCCATTGACAATGTACGGGTCGTTGGTGGTGTATGTCCTGGAGGTAAGTATATTATATGTTGAGTATTGTAAAAAATTATGCAGATAATATTGCTCTTCTCAAGGACCTGTATTTGTCGAGAAATATTTGTATTACATGGCAGATATAATAGTTAAATTCATATCCTTTCCTCTTACCAAGTCAAGTTCATAAATTTGGGGATTTAAAAACAATTTAGTCAGCAATTTATACTACAAAGTACACAACTTGTTACTGTATTTTGAATAAATTACAATAAATGAAACTTAATATAAAAATCGTACAATAGGTAGACTTATTTGTATGAGTACTGATTCATGGATGAATTCTTATCTTAGTTACAGATTGCTCTGGATTCCATTGTAACAATGGGAGATGCATTCCTAACAATATGTTGTGTGATGGCAATGATGATTGTGGAGACTTTAGTGATGAATCCGCTCCAGCCTGTGGTGAGGTTATTTTTTTGTCTTTTTTCTTTTGACATATTTGGATATGAAGTGGTTCTGATTAATACTTTATATGTTAAAGGGGTGATGAAAATAAATTCAACAGCAATTGAAAACTAGAGTATATTAAAATGATTGATGGTTTTCGATGACACCTTCATGTACAATTATCAAATACCAATTCAATGTATTTTTATATACAGCGCCGTCGATAACCTGCAGCTTTGAAACACCATTCAGGTGTGGATGGCACGTTCCATCACCGGGAAACTGGATGTATGGCAGAGCCCTCTCTCCACCTGGCTTTGTGAATCCTAAAATTTGGCCAAAAAATGATGCCACTTTCACAACACATTTCATTCCTGAGTACCAAGCAGGTATATAATGTTTAGTGGACTTCAACTATTTAGCGTAAACGGTTGCTCATAGGTGTATAGTCACAGACGAGACAGGTAGGCAACTTTCATTACACAATTCATTCCTGTGTACCAAGCAGGTATGTATTATTTAGTGGAATTACATGGTTGCTCATAGGTGTATAGTCACACACGAGACAGGTAGGCAACTTTCATCACACATTTCATTCCTGAGTACCAAGCAGGTATGTATTATTTAGTGGAATTGCACTATTTAGCGTTAACTGTTGCTCATAGGTGTATAGTCACAGACGAGACAGGCTATAGGCAACTTTCATCACACATTTCATACCTGAGTACCAAGCAGGTATGTATTATTTAGTGGAGTTACACTATTTAACGTTAACTGTTGCTCATAGGCATATTGTCACACAAGAGACAGGCTAAGCAACTTTCATCACACATTTCATTCCTGAGTACCAAGCAATTAAGTATATATTATTCAGTGGAATTACACTATTTAGTGTTAACGGTTGCTCATAGGTGTATAGTCACGAAATTTTGACCAAACATCTTATATTGAGGGAAGATATATAGGGGAAAACATACGATTAATCGAAGATATGATAAACTATACATCCAATGAGAATATTTCCGGTATCCTTCTTCAAATTGATTTTGAAAAGGCTTTCGACTCCGTTAATTGGAAATGCATCGAAAAAGCCCTTACCCTTTTCAATTTTGGAGAAACTTTAATAAAATGGGTTAAAACTTTTTACAAAAATATACAATCTTGCACTTCAAATAATGGGTATCAATCTGACATGTTTTTTCCAACTAGAGGCGTACGCCAAGGCTGCCCCCTATCGGCTTACCTTTTTATTATTGTCGCCGAAATCTTAGCATCGTCAATCCGACAAAATGATAATATAAAAGGTATAAAAGTTAATAATATCGAGATAAAAATATCCATGTTTGCCGACGATACTACACTGTTCCTTAAGTCCATAGACTCAACCGAACTAGTACTTAACTCTTTAAAATCCTTTTCAGAAATCTCTGGGTTGAAGCCAAATCTAAATAAAACCGAAGGACGATGGTTAGGAGCTTATAAGAATGACCCCCCTTTTATACAACCGCATTGTCAAACCTCCAAAATTCAAATAAACAATGATAAGTTTAACGCGTTAGGAATATGGTTTAGTCACGATTTGAATGAAAGAAATGACCTAAATTTTTCTTCAAAAGTTAAAGCAATAGAGAACCTTTTTAAAATCTGGAACTGGAGAAATTTAAGCCTGATTGGAAAAAATACAATAATCAAAGCCCTTGCAATATCAAAACTAACATACCTTGCATCAACTATTCTCGTTCCAATCAATATCATCGAGCAAGTGCAAAACCTTATTAATTCTTTTATGTGGAACGGTAAACCACCCCTGATCAGCAATTATACGACAATAGGAGAAATAGAAAATGGAGGAATCAAAACCATCCATTTCGATTCACAAATAAAAGCGTTACAAATACAATGGGTGAAGCGATTATATAATAACAATGGGGCTAAATGGAAACTTTTCTTTTACAAATTATTGCCTAATCTTGACTCAAAAGAAATATTTCAAGCAAAATTTAAAAATGACGCCTTTAATAATTTTCCACCTTTTTATCTCTCGATTATGAAAACCTGGAGCAAAATTCACAATGATGAACCCTACGATAAAACTACAATAACAAATGAAACCATTTGGAACAATAAATAGTTAACAATAAATAATAAAACAGTAAATTACATTAACTGGAAAACCCAAGGTGTAAAACAAATTAAAAACCTTATAAAAGAAAATGGAGAACTACTAGGATACCAAGATTTCATTCAAAAGTACAATATCACTACGCCTTTCGTAACATATTATGGCATAATTCATGCAATCCCGAGAAATTGGAAAACGCTTTTGCGAAATGAAAAGGAAAATATTAAAATTCTAGGAGCAAACGACATTCAAGTAAAAAAATCTATGATAAATATAAAACGCATCACCACAAAAGAAATTTACTGGTATATCATAAAAGACCATTTTAAAGATCCTACAGGGAAACGATACTTCAACGAAAAATACAACCTTTCCGAACAGGAATGGAAATCAATTTTTAGATTACCCTTCGAAGTAGCCCGTGAGGCCAAAATACAAAGCTTTCAATATAAACTCCTATTAAACCTCACGCCATGCAATCTATTTCTGTTTAATAAAAAATATCTGCATCAAACTTATGCGATAAATGTAATCTTGGCCAAATTGACGATACTCTCCATTTTTATATAGAATGCCCAACAGTAGTGAACTTCTGGAATGACATGTCAATTTTTTTCAATAACATTCATTTAAACAATAGGGAAATACTACTAGGCATCACTAATAATCCAGAAAATGACAACAAATCTGCACTAAACTATTGCCTACTCTACGCAAAAAATTACATTCACTCCTCTAAAGTGGGTAACTCGATTATCAACATAAATGTGTTTAAAAATATCATAAGAAACAAAATAAAAAACGAATTAAGAATATCAACAGAAAATCAGACTAGGCCACTCTTTATTAGAAAATGGAATTCTATTCTTAACAAATTAGAGATACCGTTTTAACAAAAAACTGTACTGTACCTTGTATTTTATTACCGTATTGTATTTTTATATTCCTATGTACCTGTATGCTATGTTCATGTTGTACATGTTCCAATTATTGTATTTTTATAGTTCCGCTATCAAAAGGTAGCTCTTTTGACTTCTCAAAGTACCCAAAGTTGTGCTTATGTGTGCGCATTGTGATGTATTGTAGATTGTAAATGAAAATTAAAGATAATAAATATATATATATAAGAAAAATAAAAATAAAAAAAATAAAAAAAAAGTATAGTCACGCTCGAGATAGGCTATAGGCAACTTTCATCACACATTTCATTCCTGAGTACCAAGCAGGTATGTATTATTTAGTGGAATTGCACTATTTAGCGTTAACGGTTGCTTATAGGTGTATAGTCACGCACGAGATAGGCTATAGGCAACTTTCCTCACACATTTCATTCCTGAGTACCAAGCAGGTATGTATTATTCGGTGGAATTACACCATTTAGCGTTAACGGTTGCTCATAGGTGTATAGTCACGCATGAGACAGGCTATAGGCAACTTTCATCACACATTTCATTCCTAAAGTACCAAGCAGGTATGTATTATTTAGTGGAATTACACTATTTACACCACTTGACACTATTTTAAAAATACAGAAACATTAATATTCGATTTGTGCATTGCCTTTGTAACAAAGTAAATTATTTCATCCTTCTGATTTATTAAGGAACTAGAGTATCCAAAGCAGATATAACCAGCTGCGGGACTGAAGTAGTTGAACTGGTGCTGGATAAAGAAAGTACATCAGGGCTTCTATATTCTCCAAATTATGGGCATGGCAATTATCCCAATGACCAGAAATGTACGTGGAGAATCACAACCGACCCTGATCATGTATGACTATATTAATATATTACTGTATAATATTGCAAAGGGAGTCACACTCTAATCTCACTATTCAATGAACCTTTTTACTGGAGGTGACATTGTAATGTCCTCTATTTCTGTGATGTCGTCGGTTGGCGTCTGTAATGGCGCTTGGCGTTCGACGCGACGTCTCTAGCAAATTCTGTAAACTCTCAATTAGTTAACAAATACTGAAAATCTAACTTTAAATTTGAGATTTGACCTTCAATGACCTATTGGTCCAAAAGGTCCACAACTTCATTCATATTGACCTTTTTTCAAAATCATCTACAAGTTCTCAAAGGGTCAAATCTGACTTTAGATTTGAAATTTGACTTTCTCAGGGTCATTTTTCGAAATCATCTACAAGTTCTCAGAAATGTGAATCTAACCTTTAGATTTAAGACTTTACTTTCAATGACCTTCTCAAGGTGAAAAAGGTAAAAAGGGTTCTTTTTTCAATTTGCCTCAAATTTACAATTTTTGAACTTATTATATTGTGAGCAACTATATGGTGACATTTTGCCATGGTTATCATATCCCTTGTCTAAAAATACATTACTCAGAATAATTCTTCGCTTTGAAGGTCAACTTGCAGAAAATTACAGGAGATGTAAAGTTTTTGCTTTAGTCTCTTCTAGTTCCTTGAATTAGTGCTTCAGTATTTCGGCGATCTAAGTAGCAAAGGCTGTAATAAGTATAGTTAATTGTAACATTATTCTACGTCTATTGTTTCATTTTATTTCATATATATACAGGGTGGGCCAAAAAACAATGCACCAGTTCAAAGATGAATATCATGTGACATATGTTCAGCCATGCCCCTATATTTTCCTAAAATCATTTGAAAGATAGATCATTCCTAACAATATGACACCATTCGACTGAAAAAACTTTTTTTCATGTGGATTAAGTGGCTTAGGTTGACATCAGGGGAGCCACGAGCGACCATGGTCCACCCTTTATACTTGTATACGTAACGTTTTTAACACCCAGTTGCATTCATCTACTACTCATTTTTTGACTCTAGCTTTAACTGGTACATGTACAACCTGTACAATGAAGTGTTTATTATTACAGCATATCAAATTGCACTTCCTGACGTTTTTGATCGAATATCACCCTAACTGCGATTATGACTCTATATCGATATATGATGGTAGTAGTACTAAGTTATTTGGACCATATTGCGACAGATCACCACCAGAAGAGTTTATATCACCTTCAAATATCGTTGAAATCCGGTTTACTTCTGATTACACGGCTACTTTTGAGGGATTTGTTATTGAATATAGTGAAGCGATAGGTGAGTATACATTTCACTTCATTTATCTTATACATCATATTAACATAATCTTTCTGATATTATAATTAAATATTATTAAGTATAAATATTATTGAGATGTTAATATCTTTAACGCTTATATTTATGATTTAGATGCTTATGAGGCTATTGATATCTGTTCTTCAACCAACAAAACCAAAATAATATCAAAGGGGGAAACGACTGATGTAAAAAGTAGATGCAGAAATAAGACTTGCCACTGTGATATGATATTCGAAACTGAACGTGATGACCAGGTGAATTAATTAAATTGTCGTTTTAGGATTCATATTTCCAATATTTAGATTTCAAGTGCAAGTTAGTTTTACCCTAAAATTCTCGTCTCGTGGAATTTGTTGTGCCTGAGTAAAAAGATGATTGCATGCGTTAATCGAATAGGTTTTCTTTTTTTGTTGAACCATGTATCTTTTTGGTAATTTAATTCTTTTGTTTGGAATCGTAAAGGACATACAGGGTGGGCCAAAAAACCAATACCCAATTTCAAATCAGAATAGAAATAGCTATGTTCAAACATGATACATTGATTTATATATCATTTTAAAGGTAATCCATTTTTAAACAATTTGGTATATAACACTATGTCATGAAATCAATATTATTATACTTATTTGTGAGGTCTAGTTGTTATTTAAGGTCACCAGATTTTATGGGGAAAATAGTAAACCTTTTGTTATGAACATTTCAAATAAAGGAGAAACGATGCGAGTCAATGCTGAGAAAGCGAGATACTGTCTTCTTTTAAGTCCAACAGTACACGATGAAGTCAAACTGATGAATTTTTCTTAAAACTATACGTGTACCATTTTTCAGGTTGTAGTTGTAGTGTTTTCTGATGAGTCTTCACCAGAGTATAGCTGCGATGATCGATATGTTCAAATTGCACTGCATGATGGATCAAATAATACTGATTCAGTTTTGAAATCGTCCTGTTACAACGGATATATGGAGCCAACAGTGTCATCTGTCAACAAACTCCTGATGGCTCTAACATGGAAGGAAAACCACGACGAACGGAACATTGACACTGTTGATTTCAAAATAACTGCAATAGACAAACCAGGTTGGTACATTTTTCTTCATGTCATATGATATGCGAAGATTATATGTCAAACTGAAAATACTATAGAAACCAGTTTTGTACTTTTTTCTTCATGCCAACTTTATATACTTCATCTCAAACTGACAATGCTAATATAAACCAGTTTTGTACTTTTTTAATTTCTTCATGCCATTTATGACAAGATTACACTAGACTATCTCTATTGTTTCATCTCAAACAAAGTGAAAACTCATGGATATTGATATCTGCACTCTCTCGCTACGCTCGCTCGTGCAGATATCATATCCATTCGTGGATAAAAATCATATCACTCATAAATCATAGGATATCCTCTATGTATGATATACTTAAGCAATAAGTATGATATGATATAATAGGATATGATAGGATATCATATAAAATATTTCAGGATCCTTCATTGGAAATGCCATCCAAGTTGTTGATATGAAAGAATCGTTTAAGAGTCCAAAGATTACAACGAACGTTGCAGTATATTTGAAGTTTTCGTATATATTGTACAATGGACAAGTCAAAATCTGGAAGTCTACTGCCAAATCAAAAATACTACTGGACCAATTTTTTATGGGAGTACCAGAAGGAAATGCATCATCGTCGTCTACATGGATGACACGATCTGTCAATGTTCACGATGGAAGTACTAGTAAGATTAGTGTGTTCTATCTTACCTTTGATTTTACGTTGACTTCTACCATGAATGGATTTTTTATTGATGAAACGATCCTCTACAAAGCAGATTGCAGAAATCCATTATCAGGTATGACTCATAACCCTGTTCTGACTGTCACTTTACACGTGCCATTTTCAGGACTTACTTAAATAAATGAAACGTGGTCAACCAATGAATCAATAATAAATAGTATTTACAAAGGAACGACGCGAAATCAATTGTAAAATTAAACGGAATTGGCATTTTCACTCATCTTTGACTTCCAAGGTTGTATAGCAACCAGAACCTTGTAAATTACGATGTACTAGTATTCAATTATAAATCATATGTTTTAATTATTCTTTTTCATATAGAAGATGAATTGATAAGAAATGATGCGCTGAATTCAAGTGTAGAAAATCAAGGTAAGAATTTGCTCATTTCATTGATTATTCGAGCTGTTACAACGTTTCTTATTTATTTCTTATGAACTTATCATATATTATAAATATCACAACTGCTACACTAGGATTATATTTATATATTTACAGGGAGTTCCAAAACTGTACCCAAATGAGATGAGGATAACTCTTTTTTCCTTCATCAAAAAACCAACATAATAAAGAGAACCTATATTCCAATGAGTTATAATAGATTCATTTATTTTTTGATTGTCTCGATACAATTTTGGGGACCCCTGGCAATACCATTGATTGAGTCGCATTGGCAACATTTCAAGATTTTCCTGCCGTGGTTCTGTGACAAACACCACGGCTTTCAAGTATGAATGACACATCGATTGTTTTCCTGATTGTAGGTCTAGAAGAATTACTGAACTATGAAAGCAAAACAATGTTTTTCTATTCTCATCATCCAGATCATTTTGCATTGTTCACCCCAGACGCTCATTGGCATCAAGGTAGGATAAGTACATTGTATACATTTGTATAAATTAAAGAGCATATAACGTAGAACAAAATAGTTTTTAAACATTTTTCAACCATAGAAAATTAATATGCTTTTTATTATCAAATGGAACGAAGTGCGCGGTAGGTACATAGCGAACCCTTCCGTCCAATAGTCCATCCGAAAGATAACTCAAATACTAGTCTAAGGATTTTCTCTATATTTAGTGGAAAGATGTATATTAGTAATTTGAACATGACTGTATTCATGCCTTCTATAAACTGTGAACAAAGTCAACATTTCACCCGGGGTATATTCGCGAAGAATACCCCTGGTAATACGTGTTAATGTGTGAAGTCATAACGGCGGGTTGTACTAATGGCGGACCATAATGAATATTCGAAACATTATAGTGAGTTTTCATATTCGAATCGTAATAGTTATCTTAATAGTTTTACTTTTAATAGTAATCGTTATAGTTTTACGCAGCTGAAATTTTCGAAATGGCTCCCGCTTTAAAAGTGGTTGGAATTTTTTCATTTGAAACCAAAGTAATAAATATTATTGTTTGAAATTTCATATACATTATTTGTTTTACCGTTTTTAACCCTGACACCCAGTAACTGTACATTGGGGATCGGGAAAACAGGAATTTGATTTAATTTTGAGATCTTTCTGAAGTATTGCTTTGTAATACTCAGATCAAATGAAAGGTAATTTAAAGTAGTTTGCAAATATTGTGTCGTTTTTCTGATTTGGGCCTCGTAAAATTCATATTTGAATATATAATGACATATTTGAATCCAGTCGATAAATATTGTTTTCGGGGAAATTTTTTTCCCGGATTTTTGCTCAAAAATGTGTATAGGATATCATATGACTTATGATAACATGATTTTTATCAATGAAGGGTAAATAATCAATTGGTAATGTCTCAGTCACATTTGATCTCCGGCAACCGTATGACGAGAGAAATACACAGCATAAAATATAGGGATAACTAATACATGTATATCCATCCGTGTAGCTCAGCGGTAGCGCAGGTACCTCTTACGCAATAGGTCCCGGATTCGATCCCCGGTTCAGGCAAGACTAAATTTGCTTGTTTGCGTGAAGTACTTCCAGCTTCAGGGTGTTTGACTGAGTGGTCCGCAACTCGTACAAAAGGCTGTGGTGTGCACTTATATGTCTATGTATAAGCGCACTTAAAAGAACACAGGGCTCCTTCAAGGAGGGACTTCTGGGTCTATCTTCCATGTTAATTACGTAAATTACGGCCGTATATATACGGGACACACCCAAGAGGTATTGCTCACCTTCATTGGTGGTAAACAAAATACACACAAAAATACTACATATCGATTTTATGAAACTACAAACTATTGGAAATATGCCAAAAAACATTATATTTTTCCACCCTAAACATAGAGTAAAGATTGATTGATTGCCAGAATTGAATGTTTTAATTGTATAGCAGGTGAGGGATTGAATACTGATGGAGAACACATAACCGACTGGGGTGCAATAGTCCAACAGACGGGCCATAAAGCGTCTGATATGATCTCCAGGTATGACTTGAAGACTTGTCGATGTAACAATTTGGAGTAAACCCATATTCATTAGGGAGTGTTCATTAAGTAAGACTACTGAGGTGATTTCTAAAGCGTCTATATTATTGTTACACAATGCAATTTTTATTTCAGGTACATACATGTACCATCGTTAAAAATACCGTCATATGAATGATAAAATTCCGATAAACGACACTTTTGTTTACTTATACCATCGGTCCGAACACATACACTTTACTTATCACGCAAACCTAAAATTTAGCAAGGTATATGATTAGTTTTGCATAACACAATGCGTGTATTCACTTCCATCGTTACATATTCCAGCTGTGTGTATGACGGCGAATCTTGTAAGGATAATATCACAATGAAATTGACGGATTTCGGGATGTGCTATACTTTTCGCACCAACAGAAACTGCACACGACCGGGTATGATAACATTTTTCCACATTAAATTTCACGCACAGGTTATGTCAAGCCTTAGTACTGAAGTTTATCTTTATATCGTTTGGGCTGACAATGCCATGCATGCGTCTATGTAAAGATTTCTGGTATGGTACTAAAAAGTTGTTGTCATTTGGAATTGTTAACGACGGACCACCAATTAAAGTATATACCTTGGTTTTAACAGGCAAAAAATGTATCTCGTAGTTATTTTAAAGGACCACTAATTTTGAAATAAACTTATGATCTACAAGCTGATTATGGACAAAATATTATACATCACCCTATCAGAATGATCATATCCCAAGTGCCATTTTTGAAAAATAGATGTTCATAGATATCCCCTATCTAAATCATTGTCTTTCATCTTGAGATATTCCTAAACTTAATCTCCTCTATATAGCCTACTTCTTGATGTTGAATTGTCCCAACTCCATGACAATTTCAAAAATACAATTTAACTTTGTCTTATGCACCATCTTAACCAATAAAATTGTTTGAATTACACAATGTGACTAGGAAATGTCATATTATAATTTTAAACTGAGATATTTGTGTCCATTGAAAATACAAAGCGAAAAGGACATACATGTAGCTCATCTTTCGATGTTACGAAAAATTGGGAATTGAATTAGAATTGTCCAGTCTTCATTTGTAATATGCTCGAAACTGATTCAGAAAATGTATGATAAATCAAAAAAAAAAGAATTTCAATAAAAAGAATTTCACACATAGAAACTATTGAAGTTACATATGTCTAAACTTCCAATATTTTATTTTCTCAGTTTCACAAAAATGTGAGTTTGCACATTATTATTCTGATATTCATTTACATATTTGACACGGTATAACTAATATAATTGTTTAAATACACGGCATCATTCATCATCTATGCTTTAGGTGCTACTTATGGTTTACAACTGTTACTCAATGCTGAAATATATGAGTACATGGCAGGACCGAGGACCGATGCTGGGATTAAGGTGAAGCTTTTTTCTCAGATACTCATATGTATATATCAATCTCACATATGGAAATGAAGAAAATGTTTTACATACATCTTCTTGTAGTATGAATAGCCTGGATATCAGTCTAGGTTCAACCATCTCAGGATTAATATATTGGCATCCAGGCACGTGTATAGTAAATACAAAGTGATGGGTGAAATAAACGTATTGGTTTTGCAATACGTAATCTAAGAATCGTTAACGTTTGAATAATAGAATATTAGAATGTTTGATTCAACTTTCCATGTTGTAAAATAACTCACTGAAATTTATTTGATGATTCGATTTCAATTTTTTCAATTCAATTTATTACACAACTCCTTATATCTTGTACACTATAAAGTCATTCCGCTGGACGCCCACGGTCATGTATTGCAGTGTTACAAAATTAAATACATATACAGGGTGTCAAATAAATATGTCCCACTTAATTTCAAGATAATGAGCTTTTTAGCATAGACGTGCATCTAGTTGAGCTAGTCATCTAGAACTTCTTGTGGAGTTACTCCGTGAAGCCTAGTTTTGATCATGATGTGCTTTTTTAGATATTACATACACAAAAATGTTAAGCAACATTATGTGGAAAAATAAAGAAGACAATGTAATGTAATAACTGTTCAGCTACCTCTTGTACCTTTGCAGGTGTTGATGCATTCGCCTGATGATGAGCCAATGGTGAAGGGTTTAGGATTTTCCGTGGCACCAGGATTACATTCACTTATAGCAATCAAAGCGAGTGAGGTATATATAGTGAATATGATAAGATCGTTCTTAATATCACTTAACATGAAACAAGGGTCTAGATTCTTTCAACACTGTTACTTATGTGATTTATGATTTTGGGGGATTTCAAAGTAAAATTAAATTATAACCATTGTTAGTTTAAATATAAAATTACAAGGATAACAACATTTTACATCAATTTATTTGTGAACATTTTTATTTAAACTTTGATTCAACATCTCAAAGGACAAGGTGCAATTATTGGCAAATATCCCTATGGTCAAAATGAATCATTCATAGTTGTAACATGAAGAATAAAATGTCATATAATACTTTGGAAAATATTAAAGTGCTCGGACACACATAAGCTGAGATAGGGATCATTTCGTTCAGTAAGGTTGTATTGACTTACATGGGGCTGTGCACCATTGACTTAACATGAGGATATTAGCAGATCCCAATAGAGGCCATTGGTTTCAATTGATTATCACAGAAATACCAAAAATACACTATGACCTGAATCGATTGCAAACTTAATAATTTCACAATACGACACAAATGGTTTATCTCATCTAATGTGCAAATATGAAGTTTGCAATCGATTCAGTCATACTTAAAATTAAAAGATTGTACATTTTTTCATCATTTTTTCCCCTACAAAATGGCTATAGAAAAATGCTCCAAAAACAACTTTTACACTTATCAAATATCATACAAGTTTGTAAAACCAAAGATTATACTATTATATTTCATTATGTAGTAACATATTTGGATAAGATGCAGGGATGCGTAGGATGTAAATGGATTTTGACAGACACAAAAATACTTCCTGGTTTGGAATCTATGCCTCTACACTTCATGATTGAATTATGACCCTAATAAGTGGCCTATACATCAATACAGTGCTGAATATAGGTCAACAAGATACTAGTGTGCATATAAATGTAATAATTGAAGCAGAATACTCATTTTGAAAAATCAGATGAATTTTTTTTTCCCATGGGGAGGTCCCAATGGTAGGTGTATAAGGTCCTTTAAGTTCAGCAAAGAGATTGCATGTAGCCGGTGTGAAAGAAATTATGGTCCCCTGACGATTATGGTCCCCTTTCTAAACGGCCCTTATTGGCCCTGATTGTGTACAAGATAATAAGGGAAAGGGTTGTTAGGTTGTATTTAAGTCACCATATACATCAATGGAGAGTAGGACCATAATTTGAGAGGACCTCCTACCCTTTTACATCGGGATACAACCTCAAAACTACAGATTATTTTAATCAATATACTGCATGGAAATGTCGGTTTGCGTTGTATACTATGATAACTATGTTTTAGACGTATAGTATACCCAAGCCATGGGGGAGTTGTGCTTCAAAGGATCTAACATATTTTGACAAATACACCCAGGTCAACTGTATGCGAGAATGCTTGACAAAAAATGTTGTAGATCTATGCGGTTGCAGGACAGAATTCATGCCATACGCAAGTGAAAGTATGTAGACACGTCCTCTTTGGCCCCTCATTATCAAATCGTATAGTTGCAATATAAGTTTTGATACTCGTAACTATAGTAAACCCTGTCTAATCCGAACATCACTGAGCCTACCTTTTCGTATATAACGATTGTTTATGTTTTTTAGATGACCCACCTGTTTGTGACATGCACAGCTACTTTGACTGCATCATTCCAAACATAGGTTTGTCATGTACTTTTTTGTAATTCATGTTTATTGTTGATATTATCAACTTGTGTATTTTAAATGGCTATGTTATGTGTTTAATCACATAAAAGAAATTATTTACAGTTATTTGCACTTTTAACAAAATGTTTGATAACTCAAACGCCTGTTTTTAAATCCCTAAAACATTGTATTTACACATTTCCTATTGTTTTAGATACTGCAAATATAACGACAACTAACTGTCAAGAAGACTGCAATGAACAATGCGAGAAATTTGTTTACGAACCAATGCTATCTTTCGGAGCTATGTCAGAACTTAGCGTTGATGAGGTTCTCAATAAAGACATCAGCGGTGAACTAAAGGATAAATACTACAATGCCATAAACGTCCAGACAAAAACAAATAAATACAAATTCCTCAATGTTCAAAGAGTTTTCAGGGACTTGTCAACGAGCATGAAAGTGTTCCAGCAGTTTTTAGACAAGTGGGTTTTTGCAGAAACCAACATATTTAAAAAAGTTGAAGATGGTGCGAGTGCAATGAATGAATACTTTAAAAATGATGCTATGTTGACAAACACCGACAGAACCCATTTTAATATTGACAACATTCTGCTTGATTTTAGAAATAACATTTTAGTATTCACCGAATCGTTGTTTTCTTCTTTGAACGAAGTAGAACAATACATGCACGGACTTTCGGCTGGATATAAATCTGACTGGGTGCAATTCAGAAACTTGACCAAAACCGTAAATACATTTGTCGAGCTGAAGGCTCATGAATTTGGAAATTTTGTCGTTCGCCAAACGCTTTCACTTCCGTCCTGCAATCAATTTTCAAATCTAAAGGATTTACTGGACGACTTGACAGGTGCATACTATGTATGGAATTTGAACACTGAAGGCTTCAGAAAAAACAAAATAACTCTTAAGACTTGTTTAGATAATCTACATACGAATTTAACAAACGTTGTTCTTCTTAAAGAACAACTAGAAAGTATGTATAATGCTTCTTTCATTATCGAGGCAAAAGATCAATATCCTGATTTATCCAGTTCACACTCAGTAATAAGTGAAAAAGCTGGAGACATTTTCGATATTGTGGAATTATTTCTAGAGAATAATCCCTCGTATGATTTTATGATAACTATAACAGAAATAGAAGAACTAATAGCACCTGTACAAGGAGAATTAAACATATTGACAGACACCATCCTTTTAAAATACATGACCATATCGAGTGAGATATTGAGCAGTTATGACAAAATAGGGAGAGAAAACTATGCCCGGTTATTGCAGGTTATGCTCGGTGTTCAGCAGTATTTTCCATCAAGCGATGTATTTAGATATGACGAAATGAATATATGGGATGAACCATATGTAGTTTTTGACCGAGATCAACATGAATACGAGACTAGATTTAGACCAATAAAGTCAGAAATTAAACAAGCTTTTATCAAAACAAAAGGGAAAGAGAAAAGTACAGCTATCATTAAATCTTTCTTTGAATCCTTAAAACCTCAGTTGGATGTGTTTGAAAAGGAGTATAGGGCAGCGAAAATTAATATTGAAGAAGCGTTGGATGATGTAGAAAACCTCATCGAAGATTCAAAGAAACATGGGAAATTAGACGATCAATTTGTAAAGTAAGAGTGCTAGTTATACAAATGAATGCTTTACTCTAGTGGTGGTCTCAATTGCTATATTAGAACTAGAAATAAATTGATATTGAAACTGAAATTGTTCGGATGAATGTAACTAATGAAACAATGGTTATTCTGCCTTCGTCAATTCATTTTAAAAGTATTACATGTATTTAACAGGTCGGTATTAATGCTACCAAATGAAATTCAATGTTACTTTTTAAGGAAACGTCTACATTATCTATTTGAGCAGTTACAGGCCCATTAAAGGAACAGGACTGGTCAAAGTGTTTTGTTTACTTTCCATTAAGCAGATGTAACATTGTTTGAGCCATGCTTGACCGTATTCTCTTAAAGGGCCAGAAAATTGCCACTTATTACCACAGACATGACAAACTAAACAATTCGATATACAAGAATGCAAAATGAACTTGAATACTTACAAATGTCGTTGTAGAATAAGCCTTCTCGAAGTCAAATCAACCTATTTTGAAACAGTAAGTCACAATACATTCTGTGAATATTTCAAGGAAACTGTAGGACCAGTCCTGTTCATTTTTGGACACCCTGTATAACAAGTCTTTGAATCATGAACTTATGTATCTAATTTGTCTCTCTTCTCCTTCAGGCGCAACTTCCTTGAACTGGATATATATTACTCTAAGCTGGCATATCAGAATATTCAGCAAATGAAGGCGCTCGACGAGGAATCTGTTTTAAGTATGTACGAAAATGTCATGGAAAAATATTCATTATTGATAAAGTTCAAGCATATAGTGCATTACTTCTGGGACAACCCTCGTATAATACAAATACCTAATTGTGTATAACACAGTCAGAAAACAAGACATAATGCAACATACGTTTTCTTTCAACAACTTGAGGAAGATATGTGATTAAAAGCGAGTTCGTCATCACAATATTGAGTTCTTTCTTATTTTGTATAGGAAATCAACGTTATTGAAGCTTTTGGTTTGATGGATCTCCCGAGTTTAGACTAATTATCTTTGACTCATTATCTTTGAAACTAATACATCCACCCACTTTGATTTATCTCCCTTTTACTTGTCACATCCCAGTCTTTATTCATATTGATGTTTAAATGAAGTTGTATATACTACATCAAGTTAAATATTATTCAATTGGTTATCTTCTTTGTTACAGGTGATATCGGTGGCTTCATGGGACTTCTTTTAGGAGCTAGTGTGTTGACTGTGTTTGAGATACTGGATCTTATATTTTACAACATCGGTAAAAAACTGAGATCAAAACGCAACTTTACACCAATTAAAGTCAGTCCTCTCTCGACTGAGCGTATTTGAGAAAGTTAATCTTCATAACCACGATACATCATACGCAAGACATTGAGATCACAATGCAGCTATATCTACTGTGAAAACTAAATTCTTTACAAACTCTCTCAAAGTACTGAATATTCATTTTTTCATTTATTTTTATTAAAACAATATTTGGGTTAGTTGTGGTTTAGGCCACGACAGTGTTTCAAATTCAGTTCTTGTGATAGAACTATTTTTGTACAGATTTATTAAAACATGATATATTCTAATAAATGGTTAGCTTATGTATTGCTAAACCCATGTCAGAGTTTTGAATAGTTATGCGACACTATCTGCATCTATTTCTCATAGTGAAATGAAAGAGAATTTTGCTTTTTGTGTTATTTTCCTAATATGACATATAGTGGGGCCCTCTCCCCACCCCAGATCAATTTGTGATACACTAAGCATACAAAAGAAATTCGTGAGGGTAGGCCTAAAAGCTTTCATTATTGTTATAATTATGATGGATTCCATTTCGTATTATATAATCTACATGCTTGCCTCAAATCATGTTTTATTTTGAATTACATACGTATTTGCTTGAATTAACACTAGCATATAAAAAAAGAGTTTTGGAATGTGCACTGCAGGAAGCATTTCCGCCAAATTGAAAATAATTTTACGAGGTTTACTGCATCTAGAAAAGAAGTGGAGCGATTTTGTTATGTGAATACTCATAAGCATTACACTGTCTAAGTGTTATTCTACTTTCTTAATATTACTCGAAATTGGTGGTGGAGTGGAGCGATTTTGTTATGTGAATACTCATAAGCATTACACTGTCTAAGTGTTATTCTACTTTCTTAATATTACTCGAAATTAAGTGGAGCAATTATGCTTAATCAAATGCATGACATATTTTCTAAAGACAACTAATTTGGCTAGTGAGCGGCCATTCTGAAAACAGGACAGTATCTTTCACCATGAGTACTCTCTGGCCATAAATACAACGGTTTCAATAAAACAATATGCTTTCTTCCAAGTGAAGTCCTTATGATAATAAAAAATATCAATCAACTCTCTGAAAAAGTATGGATTAGGACCCCATGTTGTCACATTTTAAAAGTGTTAGGTTTATTTTCTAAAAGAGTGTCTTTTTCTCAATATAAATAAATCAAAAGTTTTTTCTACTCTATGTTAACAACTTCTGAAAAGGGGATGGGGATTGAAATGCGATTAAGTTCAAAACAACATATCGCATGTCATTTTCCCATAGGGAAAACTCTTCAGTGTTTTAAGCATAATTTTGGTCATCGAAAATTGATATCTTCAAAACAAGATTTTCAATCAAATTTGCCTTTGAAGAAATTTTAGACCTCGTTGAATCATCTTTTCATGCCTTTGTAAATCAGAAAAAGAAGATCCTCTTGAGAGTAAATAGATTCAACATTTAAAAATATTTAAAATCGTTCAAATAGATGGCGGAAAAAGTGACCATATCTTTTTATTTCAACGGCCTTTCTATGCAACATCAATTTCAGTTTTAAGGCGCACATATGGAGATACCGTGGTATATATCGTGGTATATTGGGTTAGGTACCTAAAATCCTCGTTTTTCATAATTATTCCAAAGATTTCAATGTTTCACCATTTATTCGTATTAGAGCATTTGTGTGTGGAAACGTCCCTATAGCTGGAAAAGTAGTGGAGCGCTCTTGCTATAAGTGAAAAGTTAAATTTCATATGTGAAAACTTGTTAATAGGGGACCATTTCCGAAAATGACAGCCATGGCTGTAAGACGAGATTTACTGTACCAAAAGCGTTGTTGTTATTATCTAATTTACCTTGATTTCAAAATGACAGAATAGAGATAAAACTTCAAAAAATTAAGGAAAATACACAATTTCAAAGGAAATTGTGATACCTAAGATTCAAAGCAAGGTTGAACCACACTATACAACCCCATAATGCTCACAGGGCATGATACTAAACTACAAATGCCCACTTGACAAGTCTTATCTTTTAGAAACATTCCTCATCACAGTTCACTATGATGTCAAACAAACGAGTCATTCTTCTAAGAAAGTAAGCTGAGATTGTAAATGTAGATCCATTGTACATTGCTATGTATTTGCCCCTACTTCCTTGTTCAGTTAGTATTTTCACTGAAAAAGACACAACAAAGGCCTTCAAGAACACGAATAGAGAGTAATGTAATTAAAGTGCACAATACAATAATAAATTTCCCTTTTTGAATCTGACTACTTTTACTTCATATATTCGAATATAGAAGGAACATTATTACTGCAACAAATGTTAATAATGGACGGTGGATTATTGAACAATATACTACAAGTCTACATTATTCTAATTGTGTATAAATTATGTATAACCTCTGGACGTAAGTAAAACATTATTAGATTCTTCGTTACTTTTGTATTATTTAAAGCAATACTAATAAGTTAAAAATTTAAAATACCTTTCCACGTTTGCGTTACTATGATAATTTAAAAAAATTACAAGGAGTGTAGTTGGTAATAATAGCATACCATTTAACATCAGGCTGCTGATGTGGACAATGGATATTTGTGTTCTCTATACTATATATTCCATCAACTCGAAATATTTAATATTATTTGCAGAACACCTATTCGAAAAGTACCATAGTGAAGGTGAATACATAAAAGCATCGTGCCCATTTGGCGAAGTAATTTATTTTGAAACAGTTAGTTACCCTTCAACTAATAACTATATATCATGGTACTGTGATTATCCAATACAACAAGCTGAATGGAGACCGGAAATCAAAGGATGCAATGGAAGGCGTGTGTGTAACATCAAATCCATACATGAAAAATGTAATCCTTGTCCTGCAGAATTCGGATGTACTCAGTATGAGTATATTTCTTATGGTTGCATGAGTAATGAGCGGTATGAACAATGCAAAGGTAGAAATATAGCATTAAATTGTTATAGAGATTCCATCAATGTCTTGTCAGTTACACATGGATGGCGCTATAACTGTATAAAGCAAAGGTCCATGTACTGCAAGAAGAATGAAACAATTGAATATGCCCAGTGGGAACGGTTAAATGAACTAGAAGAGATGTGTAATGGAAGGAGTAATTGTAATGTATACTCATCTCCAACTGGAAACTGCTATGCTAATCAACGATATGTACAAAATAACTTTGAGAGGATACTATATAACTGTATACCCAAACGAACAACAATTGTGACTTCAACAGAGTTATCAAAACGCGTAACATTAGCAACAATAACAGCTCTACCTTTAACAGCAACAACAACACAATTAACTTCATCAGCAAAACCTAGTAGAAAGCCGACAGATCCACCAGATACAACAGGAACACTGTCCACGGTCACTATCAGTACAAGAAACTCTATCACAACCAATAAAATAACAACAAACACACTTAATTCGACAATTGCTAGCACAGCATTGGGCGTCTCTCATGTAGGTGAGTATTTCATTAAACTTTAAAGAAGCATGAATGTACAAAATTATTCCGATTCACATATAAATTCATAATGCGTTATATCTTAGCTATATTGAAAAATGTTTCTAGTTGTTATTATTATTATAGAAAAATATTCATTATCAGAATAATTTTGACATTTTATAATAATTTGTCGTCCATATTTAGAGATCAATATTTTGTCTTCGGATTTTAAACGGCCAATATGTATTTTCGCATCAAACGCATCACACGATGAAGTCAACCCACGTTCCGTTACCAGTATTTGAAAAAAATTACTGTGCACATTGTTATTTCAGCTATCATATTGTCATCTATACTAGGATTGTTGGGCATTGTTCTTGTGGTTGTGCTGCTGGTATGGATAATCAAGAGGAAACGGTAACTTGGCTTTTTTCATTCTCGTCTTACAAATTTACGTAAACTCATGTTTTTCATGTTAAATTGAATGCCTTTTGAATGTTTGAGTTTTTCAATATGCCTTTTCCTCAATGCATTTTTCAAAAAACGATGTTATATTATTTGGACACTGTACTCGTGCTGTCGGAATATATTTCATTTCAATACCATAAATTAACATCTATGCTTCTTGAATATGCTTTTAATTTGATATTGGACTTGTTTTGTATATTCCTTTTAAAGGTGGATATTGTTTATTGCGTGATGTTTCTTGTTTCCTTTGAGTTTTATGATCATGTTTAAAATCATTTTAATTTTAGAAGCAGAGTGCAGAGAACGGCTCTTGCTAAATCTCCTGAAAATGTGGCATTTATGTATGCCAATGCCAATGAAAGGGTTAATAACACAAATGCTATCGTACAAAATAAAAGAGTTGATGAACCTGACCTGATTCCGAACGACACGCATGACATTGAGCATGAACAATCACCAGGTAACATTACTGATATATATGCCCATATCCATAAACCCATCACTTCACAATGGGATAATCCAACAGCCAAGAATGATGATCACCAACTTGAAAAGAGGCTACCTGATAACCATATCCAACATGAAGATGACAATCAATTCAATGACACACCTAAAATGGATGAAAATATATATTACGCTACACTTGGAGATGATGTTGGAGCACCCTACCAACATAAGCATTCTCCTTTACCTCCTATACCAGCTAAAATGGACAATTATGACTATGCAGCTGGTAATGATGATGACCAATCTAAGACTGATGAAGCCATTACAGATGACTATAATACTATTCATTTTGGTACACGTAAACCTAAAACTGGAAAAGAGAACAATGAAACATATGGGCATTTGGATAGAGATAAACCATATGTTAGGGACAATTCTAATAATAATATTGAGATAAATGATGTGAAAGATGTGCAGCATTTGTACACGAGGGTAGATAAAAAGAAAGATAGAACAGACAAATCAGATTGGAATCAAGGTACAAGGAAAGACCCACAATTTGCTGTAGCAGACGATGTGAGTGATATGTATGCGCATGTAAATAAGATAAAGCAACTTCCTTTAACTGATAAGGAGAAACAAAGTAGAGTGCGAAATGAAATAAATGATATGTATGCCAAGGTACAAAAGAAAGAAAAGCAAAATTCAGAAAACATATAAAAGTACAAAGGACAATTCTACATCCTCCTAAGCAGGTATCCAGAATCCGCAACTCCTTCTTCCCTCTGCTATAACCAATTTGGAAGCGCCCGATTAAACTGAATCACGTGATCTAATTATGCGCAATGACTTATACATGATTTCTGTCGCAGTGTTGCGACAGCCAATCAGATTGCAAGTTCTTAATCGGGGAAATGCTAACTGCTTATAGCAGGGTGTAAAAAGAAAGAATATATTCTGGATTTTGAAGCCTGTGGTCGGAGGATGCAATTCTAGTAAGCTAGTAAGTTCTTTTAAAAAGCAATCAGAACAACAGTAATTATGATTATGAATAAATGATGAGTCATCAAATGAAAACAAACTCTGCTGTAATATGCTAGAGGGCTGATCAAAAAGTTTCTTACCATTGGCTCTAGAATTTATAATAAGAGGAGTTGGGTGCTCAAACTTTTACACGAGACAGGGTAGTAAGTTTGCTTAAAATTGTTATGACTTTCATATAGATTGGCCCATTGGTAGTGTGAGAGAGAGAGAGTCAATATGTACATAAAAACAATATTCAAGAGAAATATAATGTACTTTGCTTTTATTTTGTATTCTTATTTAAACAAACCTCTAATCCTTATTTCATAATATAAACAAGTATCAACCATAGGTATCATATACAACGTCACATACCATTTACATATAATAATCTATCACACATGTACATGCACCCATATAAAAACCTAAAGGAAAGTTTAATTAACTTATTTTTTTCAAATTACATTGAGGTATTTTTATAAATTGAATGCACAAAACAGTAACCCTAAACCACTAGGAGGAAACGAACATTAACTCTCATAGCTAAACTATTGATCAGGTGTTGTTGAGATAAATATAATTTCTCAATATAAAAATGTTTATTTGTTATGATAGAACTTCGCATTCCTTTCTTATGTATACTTATGCATGCTTTTGTACCATTAAAATGCTGCTACTGAAATAAAGAAATATTACTACAGTCTACTGGAAATAAGAGTTATCATGTTTTGCTAATTATAGACAGTTTATAAATGTTTTAGCCACCTTATCAAGAGAGAATGGGACTGCAATTTCAACATACAAATAGAAGGCAAAAGTATCTAAAATAAAGGCACTCTAGAAATTACAGAGCTCTGCTAAGTGTCATGAATAAGGAAGCAAATCTTTCATTGGGAAGAATATTGCGTCGATGAGATTTTCAATGAATGGATTTTGATGAACAAAACAATTTTTAGGATGACCTTTGAGGCTCAAATTACAACAGACAATATAATATGGTTACTTTGATAACTCCATTCCCTGCTCTATAGGCATATACATTATGTAAATTGTGTAAAAATTTCAATTCACTCCACTTAAGAAAAAGATACACCATTGTTATCAGAACTTTTGGATCGGCCTTTGTAAATGTGAACTTTATTTAACTTCCTGGTATAAAACCAATGGAAAAAATGTATTACCAATTAATCTCCCATAAATCCAATGTCAAATTTTAGTCAAATATTAACATTAAAAGCATGATTATGTGTTTTTAATAAGTGTTTGCATAAATGTTTGCCAATCATATGTCAAAATAACCTTGTAATATTCCTAAAAAATGTATTTGACACACGGAAAACGTGATTCAGACTGAAATGGTGATTTAAATTTGAGATATCAAGTGACTTCACATCACTATCTTGGCGGGGTCACGTGGCATTTGTTGCATGATTGTAATATTTATTGTGCTACATTAGCCGTGGCATGTGGCATCCTGGTAATGGTACAATAACGTCAATAACGTCATTTCAAAGGGCAATATAGTGAAATATTGGACCAAGGGCCGCAGGCCCAAGGTCCAATATTTCACTATTTTGCCCACAGAAATGACGTTATTACTATTATTACCACCGTTAATGCCCAGGGCTGAAATAGCAAATTTGAAATATAAAATCTTACCCACTGAACGATATCACTTTTCCCGGGAAACATAGCCGGGCGGAAAATGTCATTATTGCCCGACTAAAGTCATCAACGCCCGACACAATATTGCTCACGTCAATATAGCAATTTAAATGCCTTCTCAACTAGTACTAAAACCCCTAGAACAGGCCCTGCAAGGTGGTAATAATAGTCTAGAACCAGAAGTAGAATAGAGTTCAGTTTAAAATTAAATCTTCTATTACATCATCCTATATATAGTCTAACGCGTGACTTTGTGCGTGACGGGTGGGCGAATAGATCGGTAGCCTTTGCACTTTAGGTTTGTAACGATATGCTTAACATAGTTTTAGACGTTGTATCTCTGGGAAACTTGTCCCGTACCATCAATGTCAAAGACGATTCAATTTACCAAATATCTCATTCACGTGTGTCCGGTTAATATTGAGAAATTCGCACTTTTGTCTTAGAAAATGACGAGTGGGCGAACTACACCCATAAGGCATGAGTATATAAAGTTTAAATAAGATCCGTCAAACGGTATTTGAGTTATTACTCGGACATGCGAACGGGCGGGTGGACGGACGAATGGCTTCTCTACATCCTCAAATTATCAAAACGATTTTGAGCCCCAATCAATTTAATTTTTATTTGAATTTTTTTTACTTTGCTGAAAAGTTCCCCAAAATGGGGTTCAAGTACAAAAAAACTCATGTGATATTGCTGTACAAAACATTGATTTTTGGGTCTGTGAAAAGGATGTGGGATGTAAATAATTGAATATGCAACCAATTTCATGAGAGCACCATAACATTTCTTAGACTCAAAAATGCGAATTTCCCTAACAGGGACACGAGATATTTGGTGAATCAAATCGTTTTTCGACACTGATACAGGTACAGGGCAAGTTTTGATGTTAAAAGTATCAACCTGAAGTGGAAACTCTAGCGATCCATTCGCCTATCCGTCATCCATCATAGTTACGTGACAGACTATGCCTAGGGTGTTACATATCGTAACATCATTCAGATTGTAAAATTCATACAGTAAGCGACACACAGCACACTTAAAATGTGACAACAACCCTTATTTAAAGCAAGGACCTCAATCGAGATAGACGTCGTCACTGCTCATAGTATTTGGGCAAATTGTGAAATATAATAGTACAAATCATTTTTATGCAAATATTGCTAGTGAAGTATCTTTTGAACCTGATATAATTCATACCAATGGAATATTGTGTATAATAAAATGGTACTATTGAGAATTGAAGTTCAAGACTTGCGTGCTAACATTTAAACGTTGACATTTAAAATATTAACTTCACGACATGACAATGTTTTATTGAAACAAAATTTATCTGAAAAAACCATCGAGAAATCAGCTGAGATTAGTGAACTATACAAACAAGATGATGGCAATAAAACTTGCTTGCCAATGCATTGTTGTGGTACTTATTCTGATTTGGATACCTTGTTGTCAGACGGGTAAGTCAAAGTATAAGTTCAAACCGTTTACGGTTACAAATGAGGAGGGAAAGTATCGTAACAGATTTTGGACAGTCATATGTTGGATTTTGGCTATTTTAAGAGGATTTAAACAGGTGCATGTGTTAGGCCAATGCATTATCTCCAGGAAAAGCACTCATAGAGATGATAAAATAATTTTAATTTTGAAACAGGTGAGATGCAAACAACCCACCCACATATTATTTCTGAAATGTCCTGGTTTTCAACCACTTCCACCCCTGCTTTTTCAATTTTCAAGGGGTTGAAAATCAGGACAACATTTCAGAAAAACATGTGGGTGGGTTGTTTGCATCTTCCCTGTCTCAAAGTCAAAATTATTTTATCATCTCTTTGAGTGCTTTTCCTGGAGATAATGCATTGGCCTAACATATGCACCTGTTTTAATCCTGAGAAAATGGCCAAATTCTAAAACACACGACTGTCTGAAATCTGGTGCGATGCTTTCCCTCCTCCTTTGGTACCTAGTTTGAGCTAGTGCCTTGTTTGAGCTTTTGGCTAACAACTTATTTTTTGCTCAGTTTTGGTCTTAAATGTATGCTGTCACATTTATCAAATGTCAAGAATATCACAATATAAAATCAGATAGGTTTGTGATTAAGTCTAAATCATAGCATTCAACGTTGATCTATACAAGAGCAAGTAGTATCGATTTAACATTCAAATATAGATAGTTTATCATTCTGAATCATTTTCTTTTCAGTCTGTGAGAAAAGAAAACAGGATGAAGAACTTGTGTTGACATGTGTTCCAGATAGTTCCATATCTATAACAGACGTCACTCATTTTAAATGCAAATCGGGTTCCTGTTGTCAAGACACAATCCATGAGAGTGATTGGAGACAAGAATTAATCAATTGCAATGGGAAACCCATGTGCAAGTTAAACGCAAAATCAACCTGCAATGTCGGTTGGTGTTCAATCGTTTGTTCTCGTTATGAGGAAGTTTGTTATGACTGCCTCTATAATCCCATATCTTCAACAACACAGATACATTCATCAACAACACAGATACATTCATCAACAACACAGATACATTCATCAACAACTTCACCTAATGATCAGTTAACAACAACTAAGTCAATCGAGCCAGGTGTCACTAATGTAAGCACAGCGGAGAATGAAGATACAACAATTGATGCCAGTACGACCGATAAACATGAATCAACATCTTACAAAGAAAGAGAAATTGAACACAAGGCACATATACTAAGTAAATATTATGACAAAACAATATATCAATATTTGACTTTTCATTTTTACACCCTGTACACTATCTTTATTAAATAAACAACAGTTAAAACGAAGAAAACAACTTCAAACAAACAAAACCACTCTTCTCATAATTTCAATATCAACAGAATAACAGTTCATATTGTAGTTCAGCCTGTAATTCATGTGCGTCCTATAATACTCAAATGCGTGGCACAATTATTTTGATTGCATGGTTTTGTTTTGCTTTGTTCACTAATTCACATAATTTTTTTTCAGCTATTGTTGCGCCATCTATAGTTGGGATGTTGCTTCTACTTGTCGCGATTGCATTACTGGCAGTGTATCTAGTTAGGAGGAGAAGAAAGTAAGGAATAAACTTTTCACTAAACTGAGAAATTAAACTGAAAGCAAAATACTGATATTTGGTTTCAACGTCTTACCTACCAAATTAGTCAATTGTCTTTGTTTAGCGACAACATCGAGCTGTCGTTGTAAATATATTTAATGAAATATCTTATATTTGTTGTGCTTTAACTCTTTCGCCCGGTTAATTCCGTATTTTCCATGTAGCTTAAACCGGTTATTTTTTTGCCGAAAATCGACGTTTTAGCAGTTATAAGTTTAAATTTCCAATATCTCTAAAAGTACTAGACAGAATTACTTCAAATTTTCAGTGTTTATAGTAAATATATTCATTTTCCATTTCTCAAACTTTTGCAGCTTAAGTTTGACATTTAGAATACCAAAGGTGGTGTAAAAGTTAGCCAACTAATAAGTTAGCCAACTTATTCTATATCTACATTTTCAATACACTTAATATCAACATTTTCAATACACTGTACTTCATAAAAATGGATACTAAAAGTCATACAAATATCAGAGACAAGTAGCAGTACATACAAAGTACATTCAGTACACTTTAGTATATCCAACTATATGATATTATCAGATTATAACTGTTTGTATCAGAATAAAATCATCACATTCCGTATATAATTTGTCCTGCAGCAGCACGAAAGTTTCTATGTGTATGATAGATTTCAAAACATGGGGCAATAATCCCTAAGGCTTGGCTTAGATACAATGCCCATGGCCAATTGTATCGCTGTATATGCTCTTAGCTCATCTACTGTCACCTCGTACCATTGTCTCAGCCGAGATCTTGGGCTGAAGTTATCAAGTCCACCAGGCACATCAAAGTGGCTGAACGCATAATTATTGGTCTCATCTGTTATCTTTGTCAATAGTTCATCAGGATAAAATATCTTGAAATAGTCATAAGGTGTGAAATTGTCTGTATTGACGAGAACACCACCACGGCGTGGAATATTGAATTCCTGTATCCAATTGACTTCATACGGATCAGTGGAGTCATACAAATGCCAATCATACTGGCCATTGTCTGGTGGAATTGCATGACGACGTGGTCTGTCAGGTACAACTTGATCACCACCAACTGAAAGTCAAAGCGCATATTCATAAAAATTTTGGTGACTAGGCCTACATTTCTGACATTTTTATATGTATATATTATGCTAGAACACATTACTCATTAGGGAAATGTACTATCTGATGATTTGGTGTAAGCCCATTTTACATTTACTTACCTTGAATAGCTTGATCTTTGTCATTTTGTAAATTTTCATTTTGATCAGAATCATTATCATCGATATCTGAGCCACTTTCAGAACCAGAATCAGCAAAGATAGCCTCTGCATTATCTTCATTTATTCTTATTCCTCTGGCAGCCATTTTTAAAAAACAAGCTAGACAATCTATCGTGAAAATAAGTAAATAGTGGCAAAATTGTTCGAATTTTACTGGAATTTTTCATAATTTTACCGGATACGGAAGTTATGTTGACAGTTTAGTTCAGTGTAGAAATGGTAGGCACATTTTTAACCGGGAACTGTACTGGTATGCCATCTATTTAAATGAAAGAAAATGATTTCCATAAATGTCGACCTACGGTCGCCTAACCACGTGTACCGATAAGTCGACTATAGTCACCTAACCAGCTGAAAGAGTTAATGCTTAATTGTTAATGAAAAAATTATTATGTCGCATGTCATATATACTAATTATATATTTTTATATTTCTTTTAGAGCATGCACAATGGAAGGGAATGAAAGGCAATCAGATAATGATAATCATTATTCAAATGCTGTTTTTACAAAGAACTCAAATGATGACTCTGATAAATGTACGAAAGTGAAACTAAATATCGCTGTTGTTGAACCAATGAAATCACTTGAAAACACCTATCAAAATTGCAATGATCCAGACTTCATTAAAAATGACATCTACAGTTCAAACATTGACGCCAAAGCAAATGGCCAATTGCCACATGAGAAATCAAGGCCAAAATCCACAAAATATCAGCAGGAATCGAATACCTATATAAATCATCATTCCTTGAAATCAAGCACGGATGACTATTTATTTGAAAGTGGGGTTGGAAATGCTGTCTATGCACTCCCTGATGGTGAATTCAATGAGAGGGATATCCAAGAGACAAATAATAAAATTTCCATCATTGATCAAAATGTGTATTACGAGGCACTTGAGAATGGCACCTCATTAGATGACCAGTCTAAACAAACCACAGAGCTAACACCAATTCCACAAAATAAAATAATTGCTGCTGATTGTGAGAATGGACAAACCCCATATTACTCAACACTTGAGGCTGTTAATCCAATAGATGATAAAACACCTAATCCCCGGAATGAAACATTTGTAATCAATGGTCAGATTAGAGAAACCCCATATGACACAACACTTGAGGCTGTTAATCCAATAGATGATAAAACACCTAATCCCCGGAATGAAACATTTGTAATCAATGGTCAGATTAGAGAAACCCCATATGACACAACACTTGAGGCTGTTAATCAAATGGATGATAAAACACCTAATCCCCGGAATGAAACATTTGTAATCAATGGTCAGATTAGAGAAACCCCATATGATACAGCACTTGAGGCTGTTAATCCAATAGATGATAAAACACCAAGTCCCCGGAATGAAACATTTGTAATCAATGGTCAGATTAGAGAAACCCCATATGACACAACACTTGAGGCTGTTAATCCAATAGATGATAAAACACCAAGTCCCCGGAATGAAACATTTGGAATCAATGGTCAGATTAGAGAAACCCCATATGATACAACACTTGAGGCTGTTAATCAAATGGATGATAAAACACCAGCAAGTCCCCGGAATGAAACATTTGTAATCAATGGTCAGATTAGAGAAACCCCATATGATACAACACTTGAGGCTGTTAATCCAATGGATGATAAAACACCAGCAAGTCCCCGGAATGAAACATTTGTAATCAATGGTCAGATTAGAGAAACCCCATATGATACAACACTTGAGGCTGTTAATCCAATAGATGATAAAACACCAAGTCCCCGGAATGAAAGATTTGTAATCAATGGTCAGATTAGAGAAACCCCATATTATACAACACATGAGGATGTCAGTGATGATATTTGTGAAGACCCATATTACTCAACACCAGCAACAGATGTTTCACCAAGAAGCATCACACTGAATGGTATGCATGAGGAAAACGGATACAATAAAATTCAACTTAGGGTGCCAAAAAGACATAAAGATAAAGTGGTATCTAACGGTGAAATACTTGATGAGAACTATTCCCATATAAGAAAACATGATGATAAAGGTGTATATTATTCAACTCCTTGTGATGCTCCTGGGGAAAATGGAGATGAGCCCAATGCAAACAATAAGAGGAGCCTGTATACTAAGGAAAATAAAGAAAATGAATCAAATGGTAATGGGATGGAGCTAATAGATAATGAGATATATATAATGGAGGTTAAACCCGATACTAATTATGAAACTGTGCTAGATAAGAGGGAAAAGAATGCTGATTCAAATGGTAGAGTAATGGAGCTGAAAGATGATGTCTATTCAGTGGAGGTTAAACCCGATACTGATTATGAAGCTGGGCTACTTAAGAAAGAAGAGAACAATGATTCAGATGGTAATAAGATGGGATTAGTAGATAATAATATTTATTTAAAGGAGATTGAACAAAGTGCCATTCAAAGCTAGTAGGATGTCAGTGAAATGTATACTAGGATGGAGATTACCAAGAAACCTAAGATTTGACTACTTCTAAGACCCCACTCTGTTTATTTTTAGCACATTTGTGATGATCAGCGGAAAACATTATTTTTAAGCTCGAATTGAATCAAAGTTGAGTGAGGTATTAAGCTCGAATTGAATCAAAGTTGAGTGAGGTATTAAGCTCGAATTGAATCAAAGTTGAGTGAGGTATTAAGCTCGAATTGAATATAAGTAGCTCGAATTGAATCAAAGTTGAGTGAAGTATTAAGCTCGAATTGAATCAAAGTTGAGTGAGGTATTAAGCTCAAATTGAATCAAAGTTGAGTGAGGTATTAAGCAAGGCGACGACAATGTAACACTGACAATGTCTGATAAACAGTTACTGGCATAAAACCTACACATTTATATCATGAAGTATATTGTGTTTCTATCTGGGGAAACTTGATAAGTCATTTTAAATGAAAACAGGATATGAAATTCCATATCAATTTTCATTTAGTCTAGCTTTCACGTTGGTTTCCAGTATCTAAATGATGATTACATCATATCTATTTTTGTGCTTTCTATAAAATAAATCATTTACGGACTATGTATGAAATCAACCAAACAACATATCAATACTCTGATACTAGTATTTATGAAATCAAAATAATTTCATTTAAGCAGAAATGTCAAAGAAACCCTAAATCATAAAGAGGTATTGCACGAGCAGAATACATCTAACTTATTGTATTTAATGGAACTATTTAAGTCTCCAAAGTGCACAAAAGCTTCAACATGTTTTGCACATTAATCAATAACTTTAAAATGTATTCAATGAAATCAAGACCACGTGTTCAATGACTAAAATACATGACAAATCTATGCTCACTGCACTTTTGATTTTCACTCTTATATTCGATACGATTGCCTCTTGAAGCCGAGGGGCAGAAAAATGAGGTGGGTGTTGCTTTTGTCATATAATAATATTTTACATGTATAGATACGTACAAGAGTTCTGATATTGTCATGAAGGTACTTTCAGTTTAAGTTTACTAGTACTTGGGAATATTTTGTAATTTAGCTCTTTAAAGTGTTTCTGTATTTGATAAAATATTTCATAAAAGTATACTCTGATTAATTAATGTTATGTTTTTTTAGCATAATATTGTTCTTTAGTCGATGGGTTAACTGCATTTTAGGGGGTCTGAACTTCAAGTCATTTTAGCATGTATAGAAGCGAAAATATCTTCTTTGTTATATTTCTGGCAGTTCTGGCAGACGTTGTGAAAAATTGCGTATATTTTGAATTTTTAAAGTAGAAGTTTTTAATTTTCAAAACCCGATACCTAATTAAACCTACTACCTCATTAAGGCATATTTTTACACCAATCTTATAATTGTGGCATGTACAGAAGCAAAGATATTGTCTGGTGTATTTTTGGCGGCCATTTTGAAAAATGTGTACATTTTCGATATTAAGCGCCATCTATTTTGTGTCTTTGGATGATAATGTTTCTATTGCCCTAAGGTATTTCCATGCCAAAAAGGGGACATATACATCATAAAATGAAGTTCTAATGTGGATTTATCTACTTGTGCAGTATGTCAATACACACGACAGCCTGATATATCCACTTGAAACTGCATTATTCACATGTTGGTAATTTAATTAAAATAAATTACACTTCCTTGAAGGTACATCTAGTGTTAAATTATCAGCGCAATAGAAGTGAATAGAAACATGCAGTAGAGAGAAACGAACAAATAAACCATACAATAGTAGAAGGATGATTATGAAACTAGTCTGTATTATTGTATCATTTGTGGTCTGGTTACCTGTCTGCCACAGTGGAGGTAAGTGATTGTGAATGTCACAAGTAGCATTGAAACATTGGACATGCACAAGGGGTTATTCAAAAGTGTTAATGGAGTAATACAATGGATGGGTCGTCAATGATAGTAATTCAAGCTGTGAAAGTAGTTGTTGTCAAAAAGATTCCAGCGCAGTTCAAATGATTTGACCGCACTTCATATATTTTATCATGCTATCTGATCCCCTCTGGAGATAACAATTCACTGTATTATAAATGATTATTGAAACAATGCTGGTCAAATCGCGGACACTATTCAGGTCCGTGGTCAAATCAAACAATCTTTACAATTATTGGCTTTCAAAAGATTCCTTTTGGCTGTGAATTTAGATATTTTTGCTGTCAGTCATATCGAAGCATAATGACAAAATTTCCAGACATTTTAAGAATTGAAATAAAGCCAATCTTAAATAATTGGTACAATGAGTACTGGGTTTACATGGCGAAAGTGCATTCTATAAAAACATTTATTCCCTATACACTTTTCCGGCAAATCAATGTAATAGGTTTTATTGATATTTAGAAAAGAAAACTGATGGCCATTTTGTATCTTTTTGACATTATGTGAACATTGTTCTTACTTATAAAAAATTTGTTGTACAAGTTCAAGTCCGGACGGATGGACAAGTGGGTAATAACCATAGCTCAAACCATGTGAGCGAAAAGGGAAGCTTACTTTAAACCAGTTATATACACATTTCTTTACCAATTTTATTTTCTAAAATTCTAAAAAGACAATACATATTTGGCCATTGGACGTCATGACAACAAAGTTATACTTTTTCACAATGTGGTTTCCTTCTAAATGCATTAACATAATGGTTATTTATGAATCTTGTTGATAATTATAATGTATATGACATAATCCTGGGGACAAATCGAAAAATAGAATGTAGCGGCGAGTTGAAGGTGTAGTATGCACCTTCTTGTCAGTTTAGTGCAGTGAAATTGGGATAGTTTTGAATTGTTGAGATTTTACTAAATGTCATAATTAAATGTTCAATTTGGCTTGTTCACGTTTAACTATTCTTAAAACGTTTGCACAACCTTTTGCAACTTTTTGCAAGTGTACATATACCACTTGATTATTCCTGAAGAATCCACATGAACCAAATGAGACAATCATTTAGAAGTTATTTTTGATGGTAATATAATGTTGTAATTCTTTATATCTTTGTTACAGGGTGTGTAGCCGGTTATGTTGATGAAATATCTCTGTCTTGCAGCCCAAGGAATGGTATTCATATAGAAAATGTAACAGCTGTAACATGTGATTATAATGACTATTATGGCCCAAATTGTAACTGCAATCAGCTGATACCAAAAACAGAATGGGCTGGAGAAATAAAAGATTGTAATGGCAAAAACAACTGTCAAATAAGAAATGAATATTTCTGCGATGACTGTATTGACGAATGTCCTAATTTTGGAAGGATATGCTACAAATGTTGCAAAACTGTCAGACAATGTATTGGTAATCTTATGACTTTAGAGTGTGGCGGGGTATACATCAATATAATAGCAGTGATGCATGGCAGAACTCCCAAAAGACAATGTCCAAATGGCAGAGTACGCTGCCAAATAGAAAGTTCAAAACGACTTGGTAACCTTAAAAAAGATTGTGATGATCAAGCAATGTGTATTATAAAAGCTACTCCCGGAGGGAGGTGTGATGGAAAATCGACAAATTATGAACAAATTTTATATGAATGTGTTCCAAGACCAACAACAATCATCAGCACATCATCAAGAAGACAGCAAACAACACAAGGTACGACACCGTTTCAAAAAACAGAATCACCAACGGAAAAAATCGTCACAGGGACAGAGACAATAGCTAGACAAGCATCAGCTGAAACATCCTCTGCTTCAACACCAAATGATGGCTCTACTATGACAGAAGATACTCCAATTACATTTGATGAAATAACCATAAAACCTGATACAACTACAAATAAAGAGAGTACTTTGAAGCAACAGGGATCAGAAATTATCAGTGAGTACTATATTATATTTACTAAAATTAAAAATAGTACGAAAAGTGAAATATGTGTATATTTTTGATTTTGCCGTTTTTGATTACGGCAACTAAAGAAGTCCCGTTGCAAACTTTGAAATCTATTCCTCTTGACTATCAATTTTAAATAATTCCCGAAATCAAATTATTAACAAAGTACATTTTAAAATGTAACCCTCCGTGCGACTGTTTTATAAATTCAGCTATTGTCGTGCCATCTATACTGGGAGTGCTGATTCTACTTGCTATTATTGTGCTGCTGGTAGTGTACCATATCAGGAGGAAAAAAGGGTAACAGAGACTATTACAAAATGTTAACATGAAAACATTTTCTATATAGTGTATTCACAGTAATAATGCTAAACCAAATATTACTTCATATGCTGTCAACAAAATAAAGACAGTCGTATTATGTCAACACGTTCATTGTGGGGACATAATAAGAGAAATATTTATCCAGATGCACCTCATCATATTGACTTATTTGTTTTAGATCCACAAAAGAGAAAGAAAACCAATCAGATAATGACCATACTTACGCAAATGCTGCCTTCACAAAGAACTTGAATGATGCATCTGATAAAGGTATGAAAGTGAAACTCAATATTGCCGTTGTTGAACCAATGAAATCACTTGAAAACAATTTCAATGACACAGACATGACAGAACTCATTCAAAATGACATCTACAGTTCAGACATTGACTCCAAAGAAAATGGTCTCGAATCCAAGGAAGATCAACATGAATCAAGCACAGATGACTATTCACTTGAAGGCGAGCCTAAAAATGCTGTTCATGCACTTCCTGATGGTGACACCAGTGACCTAGAAATTCAAGAAATGAACAAGAAAATTGCCATCACTGATCAAAATGTGTATTACGAAACAGCCGAGGATGTCACCTCAATAGATGACCAGTCTAAACATACCAGAGATCAACCTTCACTTCCACAAAATAAAGTATTTGCTGCTGGTGATGTTGGTGAAAACCCATATTACACAACACCCGAGGATGTCAATCAAATAGATGATAACACCAGAGACCAAACCTCAAGTCACCAAAATGAAACATTTGCAATCATTGATGATATTTGTGAAGACCCATATTACACAACACCAGCTACAGATGTGCCTCCAAGAGGTATCACATTGGATGGCAAGAATGAGGAAGATGGTTATGATAGAATTCAATTAAGTGTGACAAAAGAGGTACCCAAAGATAGAATACTTGATGAGAACTATTCTCATATAAGACAACATGGTGATAATGACGTTTACTATTCAACCCCGTATAATGCTTCTGAAGGAAATAGAGACGAAGTTGGATCCTTAAACAAGAGTAATGCATACTCTTACGTTACAAAGCCAAGCAGCAGGAGTTCCCCGCCAAACGGTACCGTGCTAGATGATACAAGCAGTAAGAGAGGTGTGTATACTGAGGGAAATAAAGATAATGAATCAAATGGTAAGGAGATAGAGCTAATAGATAATGCTGTCTATTCAATGGAGGTTAAACCCGAAACTGATTATGAAGCTGTGCTAGATGAGGAAGAAGAGAATAATGATTCAAATGGTAACGAGATTGAGCTAATAAATAATGATATTTATTCAATGGAGGTTTAACAAGATGATCACGAAACTGTAACGAAGCAACCATTTAATGCCAGCAAGGATGTCAGTGAAATGTACACCAAAGTGGACAAAACAAAAAATACTAAAATTTGAGCAATGGCGTCCTCTAAGACCTCATTCTAAGAAAGAGAATAATAAGCAAATGCTCGCTCAAAAAATCAAACAGCAATCCTAATATATCTTTCACAGACTATGATGTTTACAATGCATGAATTAAAATCGAACTGCAGTGCATTGCAATGTGCAATACATGAATATATGAAAACAATATACTGTTAAGCATGTTTTATATCTGGATGTAAAACATGGAGATCTACTAAATTATTTACTAAAATATATAAACACAATATACTGTAAAACATAGTACTATGTAATCAAAACAAAATATTTCAAAGCGTGTTTATTACATGAATATATGGAGACGATATACTGGGAACACTTTGTCTATAAACGGTCTGAGTTGATTTGGATCCAAAAAATAAATTAATATTATTTAATCATGTATACAGTAGCTTAATTGCATATACTTTATTAGTTTTACATTTTTTCTATTAGAAGACTTTTTCTAGCAGGGACCGATGGTTTTTTATATGCCATTTTGGTGTCTTAGATTGTGACTTGTTGCATGTTTTGTATATATATTTTTTATGATAAATAATTAAATGAATGTTAAAACATGAATCAATAAACTGTTTCAAGTTACATATTTATAATTACTTCAGTTATTCATGCAGAAAGAGATGGTTTGAACATATTTTCATCACACTCTCTATCTTTATAGCCAGTAATGGCTATAAGGAAAGGGGACCATAATCCTCAGGGGACCATAATTTCTTTTACACCGGGCCACACACGCGATATATGAATAACCATCTATCCTTACAGCAATAAATGTTAAAATGGTGCATTTGAAAAAGTGCAGAATATTTTGAGAAATAAACCAGTCAACTTGTCATGAATAATAATAAATGTCAAAAAGCAGAATAAAATAAATTGAACCCTAATTATGAAGTAACACAGTAGAATGAACTGTATTTTATTTTAAAGGCCCATTTTGCGTATTTTCAATGTTTTGGGTAAAATAAAGACTTGCATTCGAATTTTATGGAATGTTCAATGTATTAATAAGAACCTTATCTTTCATTTGACACCAAGAACAGCTCAAACGGACCACTTCAAAGCTTACAACAATTAATCAAAAAATATTTTCGATCTGACAAGCTTTATATATCAAGTTTTTATCTATGCCATTGAAAGATGGCGAAGTTGTTTGTATTACATGATGCATTTATTTTTATAGAAGTTTCGCCATCTTTTAAACCACTTTTTTCTAAATGAGTTATTTTTTCTTCACATTCAATATTAAAGCAAGTCAAACTTTGTTTGTGAGTAACATGTTTCCATGATAATTTTTTTCTTCTAATCTAAATTAAGTATAGTGGGCCTTTAAGTGTATAAATACTATATTTACACAAAGAAGATTAGATTATTATAAAACTACAAGTCTATGATACATGTACGAGGGGTGATCAATAAGTACTGGACGCTTTTTTACACGGATGCTTTTTATGGACTAATCTCTTTGATTTTTTCACCATTGATACATCATTCAATTAGTATCAACTCTGAAGATTTGAAGACAAGATATGAAATGCGTGTTGATATATCCTTATTTTCGTGAAGGGGGTACAGGTACCCCGGGACCGACATTAACGTCACATATTCTGAAGTTATGCCAATTTGGCATATCAGTTAGATTTGAACTTTTTGATATGCCAAAAGAGTTGTGTTGTTTGAATATCATGCTACCTGTTAGTGACATACATAATGGTATCCCGATGCTAAGTCAATGCCGTGGTGTATGTCCCCATGTAAAGCCAATGGCAGCCTTACTAAAATATCTTTCTCAGAAGAACTCAAGTTGATCGAGTCTCAACAAGTAGATTCATGTTGGATAGTATTTCTAGAATCCATTTTCATCAGTAAGAATAGTTCTTAAACAGGACATTGGACTTGCTTTTTGGAACCTTTTCTTGGTACTACACAATCAATGCAATAAACGGAAGAGTTCCTTATTAGCTCTGAAACATTGTATGATAGGAAAATAACTAAATGAACTCAATAAACGGTGATTATCACGAGGAGTTGAACAAAATAATTCTACTATCTTTATGCCTTTTTTCATAATTATATTAGCTTCAAATTAATTCAAAATCTCAAGTAAAATTTCATTTAAAGTACAATCTAAATATGAAGACTTAGTCGATTTAACTTCCTGATATAAAACAAATGTTAAATCTAAAAATGTTACGAATCTGATTTTTACTTAGTATTCATAGGAAAAGTGTCAAGCCAATTTGAGTCAAGTATTTTCATTATTAACATATTTTTGTTTTCGTAAGTGTTAACATGAATTGTTGTCAGACAGTTGTTAAAAGAACATTTGCATCTTCATCAAACATGGATTTGATTCACAGACAAGTGATCATGATTCAGACTGAAATATTGATTTAAGAAATCAAATGACTTCAAATATAAATATCTTGGTAGGATGCTTATTCATCATTTACATGGCAATTGTTAAAGTTAAAAGTAGTTCACAACACACAGTCCGTTCAGACCAATGTTTTCAACAACGTTTACATGTGTAAATGTTGAAATATCATAGTGCAACTAAAAAGCACTTCATAAAATCGAAACCTGACAAAAATATACCGATTACATTTTTATGCAAATACAACAGTAAAGTATTTCATTCAACTTGATACAATCCATACAAATAAAATATGGCGTGCAATAAAATGGTTTCTGACAGTTGAAGTTAGTCTCGAGAACTAAGCCTTTAAAGGAACATTCCTTGTATACTTTACATATTTAGCAAAACACGGGAAAATTTTTCTATATGGTCAATATTGATCATTTAAAAATGTAGTACTCATTCCCAGTAAGCTGCCATCTTTTCAGATTTCTTTCAGGAAGTGATGTCATTGACTCTCACCTGTTATAACCTTGTCTATTACAGTATAGGAAAGAAGTACAAAATCACTTCTAAACAAGAAGCCCTTATCTTCTGTGTAAAAATATTTTCAGGAGTTGTCAACTTAGAACTAAAGAAGAAATCATCAAAAGGATTTTAATCATAGACCAAATTGAAAAAAATATTCAGCTGGTTTAGTAATTCTAATAGCTCCTTACCTATTGCTATATGCAAAGTTGAGAGTCGATGACATCACTTCCTGAGTGAAATTTTAAAAGATGGCAGCCTACTGGAATTGAGCACTACATTTTTAAGTGATCAATATTGACCATTTCAAAACATTTTTCTGTTTTTGATAAACTTGCAAAGTATGTATATGGTTATAGCTACCATATTAGGAGAGAGATGGTCTGGCAACGAATACCCCTTTAACTTCTCGATGGCAATGTGACATCAATTTATTACACAGAACTACTTGAAATGTTTGTCTATAAACACGACATATTTCAGACAAATCAACTTGAAGCTGCAATGTTCATACGATAACAGTTTAATGCATTTTCACTTCCTTATTCAAACCCGTCTGATAACATGATATTTGGATACTAGTGACAGGGAATGCACCAATCCGCACCACAATGTCGAAAAACAACTGAGATTAAAAAACAAAGTATATGGACAACTGCAGTAAGATGATGGCAAGGAGCTTTGTTTACCGATGCAGTGTTGTGATAATCATAATGATATGGATACCCAGTTGTCACACATGTAAGTTGAATGATATTTCAATTTCAAATGTTTTTAGTAGTAAGTACTTCAAATGTGTTTATTATTATTTCATGGTGAAATTAATTTAAACTTGAGAGGGGTTTCTCAAGACAACCTGGGTCATCACCAGGTCAACATATGTTTCCTGCATGCTTCAACTGTTATGTAAAATTCTTGTGTCTGGCTGTTATCTGCTTATTCTGCTACTGTCCTTGCAGCGGACAACATGTGCTAGTTAAATGCTATATTGCTTGTAATTTTTGGCTCTTTTTGTCTTGGATAAATAACCAAATAATGGAATTTGAAGACTTCCTGGAGAAGTGGTGCCTATCACCAGACACTATCAAGACACTCGGTGACAATGGATTTACCAACATGATGTCACTAAAAAGTATGGCATTGCCCGATGACCTGAAGGCAATGAAAATCAAGCCAATAGGACAATATAGACTGTTGGAAAAAGGCTTGACCGTCCTGCAAGCTGGACAAGGGCCCGAGACCCCTAACTTCGCTGCAGTCGATGAAAAAACGTCCTCATCAGCTGAAGAAACCCCCCAGCAGAGACAGGCAGAGGGTGATCGTTCGTTATCCGAAGTTTTACAGCAACTTGGGATAGGTACGCAGGATAACACAACTCAATCTGCCAGTGCAAGCGCTAACAAAGGTGAGCAATATTTAAAGATAGTAGACTTTGTGCGTCCATCTTTGCGTTCCCTTACAAACAAAGACAAAGTCATGGCCGCTGACGGGGAGACCAGCTTGGTAATGCGCACATCAAAGAAACCTCGACTAGAATCTGTATCTATCGAACAGTGGGGGCAGGCGAGTAACAGAATTTTGACTCATCTAATATCCACCAATACTTCATTTGAGGTAGCAGCCTACTTGGAATACCAAATTAACATCTATGAACTGGCAGAATGCTATACCTGGCAAAGTGTCATTTTGTATGACGATGAATATAGATATCGCCAGGCTTTAAAAGGATTTGCATGGGGGACAGATATCCCTCATATCTGTAGTACCCATCTGAAACAGAAGGTAACAACAAACAGGAGGGCTGAAAATAATGTAACAGCACCTAACGGCAATGTTATTTGTCGTAACTACAACAAAGGAATCTGCAGGTTTGAAAACTGCAGATTCGAGCATCTATGCCTGCAATGTTTCAAGAAACACCCCCAGAAGGAACACCAGGGAAACTAAAACACCCCTCTCACGGACCTATTAACTCACCCCTCAATTATAGTACATGGGAAAATGAACTATCTGAAGATAATGACAAGGACTTTATTTTAAATGGTATTTATAATGGATTTCGAATAATTGATGAGGATGCCTTCCCAACCTCTGCAGAAATGAACAATTATAATTCAGCTATTTGTTCTGAGAACAAGTGGAAAGTGGAAAATCAAATAATAAAAGAAATTGACAATAATCGTTATATCAAAGTGGATTATAAACCAA